GCGAGCACCGTCCCATGCGGCGTCTCGTGTTCTGTTTGGACGGCGCTACGCGGAGGGACGAGCGAGACGCTGAGGCATGTTTCGAGTTAGGACTTTCCTCTGGGGAGGGGAGGCAGATTGAGGGGCGGAGACCCGAGACGAGTGAAATAAAAATGTAAGGAAAGAATTAAGGGTTCTGTAAAAACATTTCTGCAGTGATTTTGAAATCCCCAAATACTTAAAAATTGCCCAGAACTTATTTCATCAACAGTTTTAAAGTCAAGGATTTAAAAAGCACAATTTTTATTTTATTTTTTACCTTTTTGTTTTATTACAGAAAATACCGCATACACTCAGGGGCAGACAGAAATAATGCAACAAGACAGAGAAAGGATATTAGAGTGCTAAAGTTTTACATTTACCAATAAACATGAGTTATTAAGTTCCTGTCAGGCACCATTAGGTATTTAGTTATAGCTTAAAGTATCAGGAGAAAATAGATGATGAGAGACAGTTTGTTATGGCTGGGAAATATCCTGAGCTCAGTCACTTCTGGCTATGAGACTGTTTCACAAAGCAATAAAATTAACTTATATCTGATTTTTTTGTTTTACTGCATATGGTTTTACAGTCATCTTGATAAATGCTCCTATAATTCAATGCCGCTAATAAACATAAAGAAAGGTGCCTTACTTTTCCCGCTGCTCATAAAACACCCTGTAATGTATGGAGGGTCTTAGTCACACATTGTAAACCATCGTTTCAGGGGTTCACATTTTTCCCAGAGTTAGATTCCCAAACTCTTTCATTTTTCTGGAGATTTCTCAGATTGTTCTCGTTTTTTTAAACTGAATTTAAAGGATTTCTTAGAGGCTTTGCAGGCCTGCGTTCCAGCTTTCCCTGGATCCCTGCATTTGGAAGGAGGGCGTATGTGTCTGATAGCATTACGCCCTCCGTCAGGCTGAACCGTAAACCCCTAGAGAGAGGGAGTTAATCTAAAGGGTGGAGGGGAAGGAGCTTAATAAGATGCAGATATGTAACATATACAAGTTCAGAAAAGATCTGGGTTGTTAAAAAGATCGAAGATGGGATCAAAAGACTTTTCCCTTTTCAAATTTCAACCTTTTCCAGATTCCAATTTCAAAGATTTTTAGTGTTTTTAGCTTGATAGTTTTATACATCCAAGTCTTTAACATGAGGCCTGTTTAAACAGGATGGATGAAACATTAACATAGGGAGAAAGGGCTAAAAAAGGATGTTCCATTCTTATTTAGGTCTGAAGAAAAATGCAATATAGTTCAATACTTTTCCAGACTGTATGAGAACCTGGAGTCCAAGTTTAATGTGAGATAATTCAGGTCATTCAGATCAGAAAGCTTATTGAGCGGCAGAATGAGTTGACAGCAATCACGGGGAAAATGTTCCAGAGATGTTCCAGGATGTTAAGGTCTTTATTCAAAGCCCCACTAAATGGGTTTGATCGCAGAGAAGCCCACTAACAATCACTGCCTTCCTCTCATGATAAGAGATTTAAGAGTCCTTTAATCGCTAAATGATTCATATAATGGAGTTAGGTGGATTTACAACCACAAGGTCAGTCTTTTAAACTCAGATCATGTGCTGAAGACTTTGGGTCCAAAATCTCTCCTTTTCTCCCAACCACCTTAAAAGATTCATGTTTAAAAGCTTCATCGATATCGAGCCAAATGCAGCCGAAGCCAAAAAAAACAAAACATTGACAGGCTGAAGAGCCATTGATCAATATCACTTTGAAAGATTACAACAGAGTCAGGTTATAAAACAACATTAAAGTTATCTAGTCAAAGTTTTCTGTTTGAAATCCTGTCAAGTATCAACCTTTATTCCACATTTATTCTACCTTTTATTTCTTTTATTTACTTTATTACAGTTTCCTGGTGTAGGATTGAGGTTTAGGTACCTCATCCGTGTGGGAAACCCAGATCTTCCCAGAGGATCCCAGCAAGGTTTACCCCAGACTAGAACTAGAACCAATAGATTAGTACTAGAGTTCAGCTGGGGTTAGAACGGGTCAATGATTTGATTTGTTCCAAAGGTTTGGGATGGGTTTTTGTGTTTGATTAAAGGCCGCTGATTGTTTTTGCCCCTAAAGCCGAGCCCTGCCACCCTACCATGGAATGGTCCAAACACCATAACCTTAGGGCCCTGTCACATCTTGCCGATTTATCCAGCGTATGCCCGACGTCCCAGAATCTCATAAAACGCTGGCATATGCTGAACTTTCTATGTATTTTTTTCAATTTTGGTTGTATGCAGAGCACATTCATAACAAGTCCAGAACTAATGTCCAACAACAGCCTAACTTATGCTTAACGTAAGGCAGCTTAATTAGGTACAGCATTACGAAACATCAACTAAAGCTGCTTCCCTCAAAAAAACAGAATAAATAAAAAGAAAGAGAGAAGGTTTGCCATCGCAGCAGATTCAGCGTCATGCTACAAAGTTTGTTGGTCCTGGCCGGGGAGTGAGTTCCGTATGAAGGGGATTCAGTCAAGAGAAGTTACTCATAGGTTTAGATAAGCTGGACGCCACGACTTATGAGTAACTTATACTTAACGTATGTCAACGATCACATAATTTACCTGTAACTAATGCAGGTTTCTCGACAAACTTTCGGAATATCAACGTTCTTCAGCGCACTTCAGCGTGCTCGTAACTTATGTAAAACATACCGACAAGTTATCCATCGTATGCCAGCATTTTTGCCAGATTTTCCGTACGTCAGGCATACACTAATCTAAATCGTCAAGGTGTGACAGGCGCTTTAGATGAGGGTTGGACCATAGATGGAGCAGTAAATTCAGCGCCACCAAACCTTGGCTCCTTCGTCCCTGTGACAGACCTGAGCAGCGTCATTATTATGGCAGAATCGGGACCGCTTCCTCTGTGCGTCAGCTCTTCCATCTTATTAAAGTAACTCAATCTGCTGGTTCTTGTCATCCGCACAGCAAAAACAATCTAGAAACAAGACCCAACCCGGAACCTTCTTGCAACAAGAAGGTTCTGGGTTTGATTCCCGGCTCAGGGTCTTTCTGCGTGGTGTTTGCATGTTCTCCCTGAGCATGCGTGGGTTCTCTCCGGGTACTCCGGTTTCCTCCCACAGCCCAAAAACATGACTGTTTGGTTAATTGGCTGAATGGTTGTGTCTCTGTGTTGCCCTGCGATGGACGGGCAAGCTGTCCAGGGTGTACCCCGCCTCTTGCCCGTTGACTGCTGGAGATGGGAACCAGCACCCCTCGCGATTCCACTTGGGACAAGCGTGTCAGATAATGGATTTGCCAATGGAATGGGTATTTTTACTCCTAAAATAAGATAATTAAATATGCAGTTGATATAAGACAATGCAGTTGTTTTTTCTTATTTCAAATGTAAATTGTCTTGTTCCAACCTACATCCTCAATTCTAGAAAAATAAACTTATTTTAAGAAACAAATGACTCATTTAGATTACATTTTCTTGCAGTGCGTTGTGACAGTTCATGGGTCTGGTTTGGTTTTCTAGAAGCCTTACCTTAATGAATTCTGGGTACAACTTTTTTTGACAGGATAGTAGGGGTGCAGACTCTCCTGAGACTGGTTCTCGTCTGGCCTGAAAACACCTTGGTGTCTCAGGCTAAAGTGGGAGGTGGAAACCGATGATAGATTAGCTGCTAAGACATCATAATCTATAAATGGAAAATGGAGATTTTATTGGCCAAAACTATTTCTTAACTATAAACGTCTCTGGAGCAGGTTAGCCGTTACTTTGGCGGTTTGACCTGTTCAAACTAGGGATGGAACGGTTTATGAAAACCGTCCGAACCGTTCGGTTCCACTGTCTTGGTTTCGTGTGTGTTGCGTTCGGTTCATGCGCTGCTCCTTTTTCTCATAGGGGAAGCGTGTACACTCCAGAGCAGAAGGTGGCGGTACTGTGACCAAAGCCAACCACCAGTAATAAACAAGAAGAAGAAGCGAAGCAGCGTAGCCAGGTGTAGCAGAAAAAAATCAGTTGTTGTGGAGAATTGTGTCTGAATGGCGAGTGGGAAAGAACAGGAGTTGGAAGACGCGCCAGCAGCACTTTATAGGTCTGCTGTATGGGACCACTTTGCATTTAGAGTGACCTACGATGACGGCGGAAAGAAAGCTGTGGATAAAAGTGCAACAGTGTGCAAGCATTGTGCAACACGTTTTGTTTATGCTAACAGCAACATGACCAACATGTCAGCTCACCTGCGGATATATTGATGATTATAATATTTACAGGATTATTTATTTTGTTATTTTAGATAACACAGTGGCACTTTAAATTTGATAAGAAATCCAGCCTTATTTATTTGATTGTATTTCAAACACTGCAGAACAAACTGAGTTTTAAGTTTTGATAATCAGGGAATTGAAACATGTCAATTTATCTTGAGTTAATTTCAAATAAAGGGACTTAAGTCTAGTTTTGATAGAGCCTATGATTCTTTGTTAAAGATTGAAGCACATGTTGGAACTAGCACTGTCTCCTCTCTTGCAATGCCAGAATCTCTCTACTTTTAACCTAAGACTGTCACAATGATGTATCAAATGTCAGACTGCTTTTTTCTTTTAGTTTTAACCTGACTATACAAGACGTAATAGATTTTCCTAACAATCAACATATACCCAACCGAAAACCGTGAACCGAACCGTGGATTTTGTGAACTGTCCACCCCTAGTTCAAACAGCACTTTAACCTTAGACCAACACCACACTGGCGTGACCTTAAGGTGCAGCTCTCTCATTCATTCCCAACCCTTTCCTTAAAGTTCCTGACAGCCGGTAGATTTTCTCTTTCTTTCTCTCTGTGGTGTTTTGGCTGTAGAGTGATCTTGGTCTTTGTATCTCTGTCTGCAGCCTTATTAGCTCTTTGATCACGACTGATTGCTTCTCTTTTGGCCTCTAATTGGCTCACATTAACGTCTGATCTCCCTATTCTACCTCTTCCTCTCATCTCCCCCCCTCCCCTCCCTCCCTCAGGCGGCGTCCAGCTCTCCCCAGAAGACTTCACCAAGGCGCAGAAATACTGTAAGTACGCTGGCAGCGCCCTGCAGTACGAGGACGTCGGCACAGCCATCCAGAACCTCCAGAAAGCCCTGAAGCTCCTCACCACCGGCAAAGAATGAGCTCTTTGTCCCCCCCTCTCATCTGACTCCGCCTTCCTCCTCTCCCTTTCTTCCTCCTCCAACCCCCCCACCACCACTTTTCCTCTATCTGTCTCCAATCTGGTCCCAATGTGACGTTGTCACACTGAGGCCGCTGGCGTCAGACGAGGACACGATGGAAATCGGACAGAACAATGGCGGCCTGTGTCCGCCGGCTCACCAATTGACGGGATAACTGACCAACTGACTGCAGGATTGACCCAATCAGCTCGTCACCAGCTCTGGTGGTTTATATTGTTCTTACAGCAGGTTCAAAACACCAAGGAGTCGGACACAAACTTTTAGTCCTAACTTGTGTCACTTTATCAACTCAAACTTGTTTTCAAGTTTTCTTCCTCTTTCAGTCCAATAAATAAAGGAGTACACTAACCCACCCGCTTCTGTGTCTGAGGCTTTGCCTTATCGGGAGGAGTGATTGTTTCTGAAATCTGCTGCAGAGCAGCGTTGGTCATCATCCAGTTAAGCTTCAGTTTGGATTAGCTTCGTTATAAAGAGGCGAGCATGCTAATGAGCCAAGCTATTACCATCTCTGCAGTTCTTGATGATGATACAGTTTAGCAAATGAATGTTTTGGTCTTCCGCCCTATGAATAAATTTATAATTTTATCTTTTTTTTCATCACAGTTTTTGTTCTCCATCACCTAAGATCCAGAGTTTTCAGTCTTTTAAAGCTTCCTTCATCCTTTTAAGGTCTGAATACTTTGTGTTCCTGATTCTTCATGCTTTATGGTGCCTTGGCAGTTGGCACAAGACCTGGGAGTGGGTGGAAACCTGACAGTGTGGCGTTTTTATCACCCACTGACTGATCCGTCGGCTGCAGATTAAGTGATTTCTTCACCTTCACTTCTTTCACCTGAAACACTCATTGATTGGACCAAACGTCTTCTGGATTCATCGAACTGAAACCAAACCAACAAACACCCACCGTAGAAATAAATCAGCTGTTTTCTGTCCACCTTCAATCGGATTCAGTCTCATTGTTTATCCATGTCGGACTAACGGCTCGATTCTCATTCTGGAGGAAACTGTAGAGGACGGTGCACAGGGACCGCTGGAGAGCAGGGAACTTGTTTAACCTTTGATTTCTAACGTTTACATATCACTGTGTGTAGAAGGAGGAGAGGTGGCGAATGTAGTTTAAAACATTTTTCTGTATTTAACTTGATTTATTGACTTTAAAGGCTTTCGATTAACTTTGCATGAAGCATCAGAATCGCTTCAGTTCGAATAAAATGTTTGAAATCATTGTTTTATTGTGTGAATATTTTTTTTAATATTTAAGAATCAGTCTTTTCTCTTATTATTATTTTAGGTTTAAGGCAGAAAGTCTGCAAAAGTAGATTCTTCACTGGAAAAATGATCTAGAATTAAGTTAAAATTTCCTAAATTAAGTGTATTTACCTTTAATTTGAGT